TTTGTGTTCGCTGAAACACTGGGGTTTGAAGTACCGCTACACCAGTGTGTGATTCGTTCTATCCTGGGAGGAAATAATCCATTATCTTGGGTACTAGGAGGGGATTAAATTCCTTAAGGAAACACTGTGAATTCAGTGGGCTCGAATTAATTACTGTTTCATTATGTTAACTTATATTTTGCAGAATTATTATTTACAAATACAGCAATATTGGCGGGACTAACAAGTTTGAAGTGGTGTGGTGATTTGCGGTGGAGCAGAGTTGGTGATTACTATGAATCAAAAGAGAAGAAAAATAAATAGCGAAATAGCCTAAATTAATAAATTAGTTTATAAAAGAGGGTCATGCAAAATACATGTCACAAAGTAATAACCGAAGAAAATTAGTAGGATCACAATTTACAAGTGTTAAAAAACTATGAATGAGTGAAAGATATCACAGTAGAAAGTACTAAATTTTATCCACGTCAGTAGCAACGCATGGTCAGATGTGTTTAATAGTACTCAAGTCATTAAGTAACGGTGCTTTAAAATGTGATGCAAGTTTAGGGGCTCTTAGGCCTTTTTGCCTTTTCTTTAACATCATAAATATAGGTCGTAGACTTGTAGTTGAAGATAAGTACTAAACTGAAACATTTAAAAATTTGAGGAACCAATTTGAGTTTCCTCTGGATCTTCATATTTATTTGTTCCTCTGCTACTCAAGAATCAGAAATGGCGATCCAAAAAACCCACAAGGCAAAGCCAAAACCAAGATCCTCAACACTCATACTCACAGTTGCAATTGCAGCGATAACGTTACTATACATTGCTTCACCATTAGTTTCCCCAAATGGGTTCTCTTTTTCAACTCCAAAAAGCTTAAGAAACTCAGTGTACTCTAAAAACCATAAACAATTTAATGGGCCTCACAAGTACCTTTATTGGGGCAATAGAATTGACTGCCCTGGAAAACATTGTGATACTTGTGCAGGTTTGGGTCATCAAGAATCAAGCCTTAGGTGTGCTCTTGAAGAAGCTATGTTTCTTCAGAGGTACAAAAAATTCATGGTATCTCAATTTTGGGTTTCTTGATAATTGCTAATTTAGTTTGCAAAGTTTGAATCTTTTTTATGTTGAAGTGGGTTTTACTTTGCTACATGTTTGTTTCTTGATTTCTTTAAAAAGGAGAAATTTTTGGTTTAGTATTTTTCTTTGTAGCTCAGCTCGTAGTGGATTCTTTACATAAGCAGGTTATGAATACAAAAATGTTTTTTTGTATAGTTTACGGAGCATTTGCTGCTGTTTTGAGCTGGGCTGGTGTAATAGTAGCATTTGTTGATTGAAGCAAATAACAAGAATAGGATTTGATGATTGCTTGTTTCCCTTATTAGGAAAAAAATAAATAATAGCATTTGATGATTTTTGAAGGGGAGCAGCGGGGCAAAGTAAAGTTGTCTCTGTGTGACCACGGATTCGAGCCGTGGAATCAACCACCGACGCTTGTGTTAGGATAGGCTTCCTGCATCACACCCCTTGGGTGCGGGCCTTCCTCGGACTCTGCGTGTATGCGGGATGCTTCGTGCACCTAGCTGCCCTTTTTTAGCATTTGATGATTGTTGCAATTTAAGTGATTCTTTTTCCGAGATTCAGTTCTTGTTACCTTGTGTAATGCATGTATTCAAGGTCAATTTAATGTCTCTGTTAGAAGTATACGGAAACTTCGGAATGTTTTGAGAGAATGAAGTCTGCATCTTGGATTAATCAGCTGTTTCAACATATGTGAGTGGTTCAGATCTTACCTTTCTTTTGTGTTTATATAGGTCAGAAATTTAATCTATTCAAAAGATGGTACTCTTGAGTTTTGAGCGCATAGGAATTCTATGCCCGTTTCATTTGGTCATCCTAGGATCATTTATGCTAATAGTATGGGCATAAGACTTGACATGCATGCAGCAATTAATATTATATTACTGTGAATTTGGTTAAGCACATATCTGTGTGTATGGAATTCCATGTTTGTGTTGCTTCCAAGCCAGAAAATCTGCAATAAGGCACCAACGATTTTTAAGTTGTGTTAACAGTCCGAGCATTTATAGTTTTGATGTTCTTCTTATCTAAGAATAGACTACTGCTTTTTGCAGAACGTTTGTTATGCCTTCAAGGATGTGTCTCAATCCAATCCACAACAAAAAAGGGATTCTTCATTGGTCCAGCAATTCAACCACTGAGGAAAGGTGCATTTTCTGTATAATAGCCACGTTGCAATTCATAGATTAGGTTGCATCGACTTCTGAGGAAAGGTGCATTCTTTATTAATGGCAAGGTGGAGTTTGTTAATTAGGTTGCATCCAACAGTATGTAAAATGTATGTATGACGGTATGAGAAAATTGATTAATTGTCTCTTATAACTTATCAAAACAATATAAAAATAAATATAAAAATATTGTCTCTTGTGGAATTTTCTGGTTTCAAAGAAAGGTAACCAACCAAAATAGAACTGCAGAGTATGTGTGTGATAACCATAGTCGTGCATGGCCCTATGCAGTAATTAGTGTTCAAATATTGTTTTCTCAATTGTGCCTAAGCTATATGTTACCTTTTCAAAAAAAAATAAAAAATTTGTGCCTAAGCTACAAAGAATTCGGTTTGTGCTAATGTGATATGCCTTTGACAAGCATATGAATTGTTTAACAATATTAGCTTATAAACTTCCTTTATGTCCATCTGATTGCCAGGTGGGGCGATAGTTCGTGTGCTATGGATTCTTTGTATGATGTGGATCTCATCTCTGACACTGTACCTGTAATTTTGGACAACTCCGAAATGTGGCATCATGTCCTGGCAACAAGCATGAAGTTAGGTTCTAGAGGGGTCGCCCACGTTGAAGGAGTTAGCAGGACTGATCTCAAAGAAAAAAGTTTGTACTCAAACATTTTGCTTATCAATCGAACTGCAAGCCCACTTTCTTGGTATATTGTTGCCTCCCTTCAAGTGATACAATATTGGATTGCTCGAGTTTCTCTTTTCTCTTCTTTATTTTTCTTGTCTAGTGGAAGGATGGTATCCTTCTAATATTAGAGGCTATCCATAGATGAATTTAATTCCATTGTTTTTCCAGATTGCAAAACCTTTAATTTAATTTGTTCAAGAAAACGAACAAGAAGATTAGCTATGCGAGGATTAGTTCACAACAGCTGAAAAGTCATACTATTAGTTATTTTTTTGGTTTGTTCCCTTTATAAACCAGTTAGACTTTAAGTACTCACTCATGTGCAAGCTTTCATTTGCTGGAAAAATGGAGCTTGTAATAGGGGATAAAATGTTCTGAAAATTTTCTGAATCTTATATGGATCTACTTTTGAATTCGGATAGAGTTACTGTATAGTTAATAATGGTAATCATTCAGGTTTGCGGAATGCAAGGACAGGAAAAATCACAGCTCCATTCTTCTGCCATATTCGTTTCTTCCTTCAATGGCTGCGGAAAAACTACGGCATGCAGCAAAAAAGGTTAGTTAACTGCATGCTTTTCACTTTTTCAATCAAACTATTTAAATTTACTTTGGCACTCTATCATCTATTTGTGAAATTGAAATCCTTTATCAGCGGAAAAACTAGATTGCTATTACATCTCCTACTCTGTTTTCTCGATATATTGAGTCCATTGGATTCAATATCAAACATCATATCTTGAAGCTTTTTGGTTCAAAACTATAAATGCAACTTATAGTTTTTGTTCTTTATTAGCTTCCTTATATAATATGCCTCAAACTTTTCATTTGTTGCATAAGTGGCTGTGTGAGGTTGCTGCCATAAAGGCCCTTTCCATCTCCTCACTGCGATATGTTTTGAAACTACTAATAGATACACTCTCCTGTGGTTTGATGGATTCTGTCATTTTTATAGATCAAGGTGCTGCTTGGTGATTATGATGCTATACATGTTCGAAGAGGTGATGTTTTGAAAACAAGGAAGGACAGGTTTGGGGTTGATCGAAGTTTGCACCCTCATTTGGACAGAGATACACGTCCAGAGTTCATTCTTTGCAGAATAGGAAAATGGGTACAGCGTGGGCGAACCCTTTTTATTGCTTCTAATGAGAGGACACCAGGCTTCTTTTCTCCTCTGGCTGTGAGGTTAGTGATCTTCCAACTCATGTGTTAATCGTCATGTCCTCTACCAGATTAATATGCACTGTTTCTTTTGGTTGCTTGAAGCTATATAACTCTTATTTCCTTATGGTCTTCCTAAAACTCATTAGCCTGTGTCTCAGTCCACTATTATAAAAAAAATTAGTTTCTCTAACATTAGAAGTTCTCTACATTTTCTATTGGCGTATAAATCTTTAACAAGACTATACCTTTACTTTATATAAAATCTGTTACCTTCTTTAATAAAAAAAACAAGACTATACTTTTACTTAAAAAGAAAACATCTGCTAACTTGTAAGGATCAGACAGAAGCAAGTTCCTGGTCAAACGAATAGTGCTGGTTGTAGTAGGAGAAAGTATCAATCATAAAAGCTTGTGTTTCATTGCTGCATGTTAAAATGCATTTGATCATCTACTGGAATACCTTAACTACTGCAGGTTTAAATTTTCTAGTCTTCATGCGGACGTCATGATTAGCATTGCCTGCTATAATCTTTGTTCTGGTACCTACTATTTGCAGGTACAAGCTGGCCTATTCATCAAATTACAGCAGTATCTTGGATCCAGTGATTGAGAATAATTACCAGCTCTTCATGATAGAAAGGCTTATTATGATGGGAGCAAAAACATTTATTAAAACAATGAAAGAAGATGATACTGATCTCAGTCTTAGCGATGATCCTAAAAAGAATACCAAGAAATGGGAAATACCTGTTTATACAAGAGACAACGAAGAATGTTAGTTCTCAGATGCTTAACTGGATTCTTTTGAGCATGCTCGTTTCATTCTTTACACCTTTTCACTCAATTTTTGTTTATTCACTTGTAAATCAAAATTTTCTTTGTGAATGTCAGAGTTGTTAGGTACTACTTGAGAGAATAGCCTGTTTCTACATGTTGTATGTAAATTATCATATTGACTTCAGTGGAATCAATTGCAGATATGCAAAGTATTGTTTGAGTCATTCTTTGTTAAATTCTTGAAAATTGTGCTGCCCTGATCAAGAAATGTTAAATTTATAGATATGTTGATATATGTAATATCTACATTTACGTTTCTTGCAGTGTGAGATTTAAAGAATCTCTTGTTTTAGAGACTCTTCATTTCAAAGTACCATAGTTATTCACCAATTACACTAAGTCACTAATTAATTGTTATTGAAGAGGAAAAACTCACAAAGTTGGGGAAAAAACAGGTACTCTAGTACTCATCCCAAGAAAATCATATGAAAGTCACTGAAATACTTTAAAGGGGTCGTTTGGTTCCCTCGTACCAAATGAGCCCTAAAATCATTATTATAACACAAATACTCATACCTTATTTTGAAGAAAGAAGACAAAAAAGAAAAGGAAAAAGTATTTCTCTACCTTTGGACCAAGTAGGAAACAGATAGAAGGAAGAAGCTTTATTTCATCTTTCTTATTACCAACTAAATTTTTCATTATGCACAAAAATACATGTTCTTACAAGATCTCTTCATTCTATATATATATTTGGAAAACCTCTAGCCTCTACACAGAGGCCAGAGGTGAGCATAAATTCAAAACCTCAATTATGCTCTCTTTATAAGCTGCATTCTATTAAAAATCAGAATAGCTGAAAGGGAGCCTCTTCACAGAAAAGAAAAAGGGAAAAAATGGAGAGCTCTCAACTCTTTGTGTGCTATTCCAAAGTGCTGCTAGGCCAGAGGCTCTTCCACAATGAAATCTCTTTGTCACTATAAAGCTTTCTGATTCCTCCATAAAAACCATCTGCTTCATTGCCCACTTCTCTGTGTTCCTTTCTGTTTATCACTATTTGCCTCCATCTCGAGCCGGGGGTGTACTGTTTGAACTCCAGTAGCACTGTGTCTGTGAATAAAACTGGCCGTGAGAATGGTAATCATGAAATTCTCATTCATCATACGTACAGGTTGAAGACATAATTAAGTCTTTCAAAACGTGCTCTCTCTAACAGTTTAAGCTTCTAGATGAGATAGTCATGCACTTCAATACTTTCACGAAACATACAACACGATCTCCTAGTCTTCTCCCTTTGCATAATGAGAAGATACAGCATGATTTCCTAGTCATCCACCCTTTGCATATTGGACTTCTTCTCTGCTAAAAATGCATCCTAGAGTCTAGTACATTTTATGAAGTGTGTGACATGTTACTTCATGTTTGATTGCAACTACGAATCAAACACAATTTTAGAGTGTTTGCGCTTACCAGTTTTAGAGATGCAATGTAGAGATTATAATTCAAAGTAAGTTGATCTGGAGCTACTTATGATGGAAGAAGCATTATATAAGAAACTACACCTAATTCTTTATCCTGATTTTGATCTTTGATCAGCACACTTTATATACTTCAAAAGAAGCCTAAAAAAGTTTCGCCTTATTTTTGGGACTCGACTAGTGTATCAAATGAAATGGGGAATAAAAGAAACTACTTTCAGTGTTTTTCTAAGAAGAAACTAAACAGAGATTCTAGAATTATTTAACCATGATTTTCAATTGTTAACATTAGAGCTCACAATATATTACTGTTATGAAAGTTTTAGAAAAGATGATTCTGATATTTAGTGATTGAAAGGTCAATCTTTCTTACCACTGGAATGGCAATGGCAATTCAATTCGTTGCCATTACAGGACTCCAAGTGTCCAACAACTCCATACCACCAACCTGCAGTACAATTTAAGAGTATATTTCAATGCCAATCAGATTAAAAACAAAGTCATGAAATCAAGAAAGTGCTAAATTCTAATGGAAAAACAAATAGCCTTTAATTTGACCAAAAAACACACCATATGGGAACTCTTTGCTTTTTCTCCACTGAATCTCAAAGTGATCATCAGGTTTCAGATCATTTAAGCAATCTGATATATGAAGAACATAAGGAGGAGTATCAACAGTTGGTGCTCTTAGCCTATTCCATTCTATGTTTTCCTCTACTATTCGCCTCCCCTGTGTCGGATACCTGCAAAATTAGTCCATTCATAATCAGGCTAAAGGATTAAAAGAAAAAACAAATCTTGAATACATCTAGAGCTGTCAAATGGGCGGGTTGGGTTGATTTTGTGCGGGACGAAATGGGCTGAGTCAATCCGCCCCAACTCTTATCAAGCTTTAATTAATGTGTATTATTTTCTTATGAATTGTTTAATTATCAAATAAAAAAAAATTTCTTTTATTATGGTCATATATAACATATATAAAAAAAGATTATTTTAAAGATATTTTAGCAAAGTTACTCATGGATCAATTTAGGCTAAAAATCAGCCCAACTTTAAATGGGCTAAGAATATGCTGGATCAAGATGGGTTGAGTTTAACAAATGGGCGGGTTGGGCGGGTCAAATAGCTCAAATTGCCACCCCTATTATACATCTATCTTCCTCATTCAAGGGTAAAATTTTTACCTTGCTCTGAAAGTATTTGTGCTGCAATCATAGCTAACCTCAGCATCATAACAAGATAGCATAAAACCAACATGGCCATTCTGCACCTTCAAAAGAAAAAGCATGATCCATCAGCACTTAGTTCAAGAGATACTAAAAGAATCAAGTTTTATATAAATAAAAGAAAAATGTTTGTAAAAACTAGTAACCTGATTTGTGTAACTAGTAACCTGAAAAATAATGCAGGTAACCTAGTACAACATGATATTGGTAAAAGTTGTTACGCAATTATCAGTGTATAAAAGTTAAACTCTTCTGCAATTACCTCGCGGTTAAAAACCTGAGCTGAGAACCAAAACTTGCCAGACTCAAGGGAGAGATACCAATCCATAATTGAGCTCATTGCTGAAGAACTTCTAACCTTGCTGTTATCTTCATTTCCTTTTGATCTGTTCCATAAAAGTTGCCTAATTTCTGAAAATTTCCCAAGTAAATCTTTCTTTTTTCTTGAATTTTCCAAGAGGAAAACATTATTTCTTGAGGCAATGTAGCATTGCCATTCTCTATAAGCAGCAGATCCTATCAATGCACCCCATTTTTCCTTCATATGTTTCTCCCACAAATGATCACTTTTGCATTTTTCTCTCAAAGAACTGCAAACTGCAGCCATACTACAAAGACCATTTGGTGGAAGCCTCTCGAAGATACATTCCAAAGTCAAATCAGGCAATTCCAGTAAAGAAATCTCCTCTTCCTTCTCCACAACATTCTCTAGTTTTGACTTAACAGGTTTTTTCATTAGAGGCAAATTCAAGTAACTAATAGCATTCCTACCTTTTCTGAACCATGAATCCAAAAACTTTAAAAACTCTTCACAAAACCAGAGATTTGAGAAAGCTCCCATTGTATTCTTCCAAGTAGGAAGTGGCTTAAGAAATGACTTAGAAAATAGTAGGATGAAAGGAAAACAAGAAATCAACAAAAATAGCATTGCACTCAAAAAAAAAAAAAAAATTTGCTGAGCCAAGAAAATTCAAGAACTGCTGCAATGCTAGAGAGACACACTAGTTTTATACCACTATATAGTAAAAAGGGTAAAAAGCAAAGTGCTTAGATTGTGCAAATTTTGGCGGAGTTTTCAAATGGGGTTGTGGCAAAAAGTACAATTAAAGAAAGTGGGCATAGGTAGATACACAGCAGGCAAGCTTTAATTGTTGTGACTCACAAAACCACACAATTCACTGAAGGAAAAACCAACATTAAAGAGGTTGCTTCTTAACTGTTTTGGTATCCAGCTACAGTGAATTGCCCGCCAGAGATATGAGGAAACAAAAAATTGTACTATGACACATCTTGTGGGGTCAAATGCAAGCCAAGATTTGTATACTTTGGTTATTAAACAAGAATAAAATTGTAGCAAGAAACTCCCCTCAAAGACTCAAGTTTTATCAACTTTGGTAATACCAATCTTGATGGTTCCTCAAGTGACAATGAAAGACAAACAACAAACGGTTTTCTATCTATGTCATATAATATATAACAAGACCATTTGTTCACAAACCAAGAAAAGTAAAAAACAGTCTTAAAAAATTTGGAAGATAGTTGAAGATGAGGATGAATACAAAGTGGATCATCAATTTCATCCAAGATTTTGTCAGGACTAATAAAATGATTCTCTATTTAAACTAGTGTCCTAATAACCTGTTGACAGGGTCAATAGGTAAGACTTTAGACTTAGGTAGCAGAGATTAAAAAGGTAGTTGTCACAGTTCACCTAGTCATTACCCAATTTTTTTTGTTTCTCGTCCGGTGTCCCGTACTCGTATTGGGACCCAATTATCTCCGAATTCGCGCCGTATATGTCCCATTTGAGGGAAGCGCTCCCTACCAAAAAAAATTTCATATCCAGAACTCGAATTCGAAACCTTTCGAAAAAGGGAAGAGCAGCCCATCAGCTACACGTATCCTTTGGTGGTTACCCATGTAGTTATGAGACCTCATAGGAAGGTAGCTGAAAGTTGCCTAACTTCTACTCAACTACACAAGAACAACTGTAAGGACCACAGACACAACCATGTGGAATTAAAATAATGTGGCAGACAATCTCACCCTAAAAAATATGAATAAAAAAATATTCGCTTCGAAATATTAGTCGTTTTAACAAATTAAAATATTTGACATTTAAGTCATTTATTACTTTTTTCTAAGTCTTTCCTTACTGTGTCTGAGTTGATACAGTGTTAATTAAGATATGATGTTTTTACAATGAGAAAAAAAGGATTACAGAGATATTTTTATAATTAAGACTATTAAATCTTTTTTGCAAAAATTTTAAATGGCAAAGAATATATGAATTGGAGATTGTACAAACTAAATTAGTAGGGTACGTTATTTAATGTTTAAAGACTTAACAACATTGGTGGACAAGTTTTTATATGGTTCACTGGTTAAGCAACTTTGTAGCTTTCTTTTATTTTCCTTTTCTTTATACTTTTCTCGACTTTAATGCCCTCGTAAGAAGGTTGTGATTATTGTCATAAAATGTCACGAACCAAATTATCCCTATGTAAGATGTCGTGATGGCACCTAGTCTTTACGATTAGGTAAGCCTAATATTACGAAAAATATACACAAAACACAATATTTTAAAGATAAACAGCATATTATGAATAGTCAAGAGTAGCACCACTCGGCATATACAAAATAATTTCTCAAGACCCGGAATATCACTAAGTCACAAGCTGCTATAATCTATGTAGCTCTATACAAAAGTCTGAAGATAATAAAGAAATTCTCTAGGCGAGGGAGTAGAAGGGGACTCCGAAGATCTGCGGACGCAAGCAGTGGTACCTTAAAGTCTCCTAAAATCAGCAGCACGTACTAACCCCGAGGCTGATAGCTTGCACCTGGATCTACACACGAAAACATGTGCAGGGAAGGGCATGAGTACACCACAATAGTACCCAGTAAGTGCCAAGCCTAACCTCGGTCGAATAGTGACGAGGTCAGGTCAAGGCCCTACCGGAGTAGATATAATAAATTAAAGAGTAAAAGATATAAGTAAAATTTATGGTGACACAGTTAAAGAGATTTTCAAAAATTTAATAGTTAAGGGGAGCCCTCGGCTCAAAACAAGGTAAACACAGTAGAAAATCTCCCGGGATGTCGTCCTGTAGTTCTGAATAAATATGCAGTACATGGGGGATCTCCCGGAATATGTCTGTAGTCCCAAAGTAAATATGCAGTGCTGGGGGATCTCCCGGAATACGTCCGTAGTCCCAATTTAATTATGCAACGCAAGATGAAATGGCAGGTATGGCATCGAGTTATACAGTTTATACTGAACACAGATAAGGAAAATAGGGATTTAACTAAACATGGCACACAGAATGTCAAATGGCCAGTTAAAACACGTAAGCATGCTTTTCTAGTCTAAACTATACAATTAAACATATTAGTACAATTTAATAAGAGAAGCAATTTATGATTTAAAAAGGATAAACAAGATTTTTGTAATAATAGCTCGTGTACGTACTCGTCACTTCACGTACACGGTGCCCACAAACCAAATAATATCAAGATATCCTAAGGGGGAAGTCCCCAACACAAGGTTAGACAAGCCACTTACCCCGAACCACATCAAATCTAGTCTGAATGACCTCAAATTTTACACACAGGTCACAAATGACACTACGAACCTACAGCCACTTTTGGAATTCCATTCCGAGCTCGATATCAAAATTTTCACTATCGGCCGAAATCACCGAAAAATTAACTTTCGCCAATTCAAGTCTAAATCTACTACAGACCTCCAAAACACATTCCAGACGCGCTCCTAACCCCAAAATCACTCAACGGAGCTAACGGAGTCGACGAAATTACATTCCGGATCCGTCTTTACACAGTTCCGACTACGGTCCAAACTCTAAGGCTTAAACTCACAACTAGGGACTAAGTGTCCCAAAACTCTCCGAATTCCATAACCAAACACTCTGGCAAATCCCAAAAGCAGAAACAAATATGGAGAAAGCAGATATTAGGGGATCAGGGCTCTAATTCTCAAAACGACCGGTCGGGTCGTTACATCCTCCCCCTCTTAAAACAATCGTTCGTCCTCGAACGAGTATAAAGACATACTTGAAACTGTGAAAAAATGAGGGTACTGGATGCGCATATCCTGCCCAGTCTCCCAAGTCGCCTCCTCGACCGGCTGACCTCTCCATTGGATCTTTACTGAAGCAATATTCTTTGACCTGAGCTTTCTGACATGCCTGTCCAAAATGGCTACTGGCTCCTCAACATAAGATAGATCTTTGTCTAACTGGACTAAGCTGAAATCTAATACATGAGTCGGATCACCGTGATACTTCCGGAGCATAGACACATGGAATACCGGGTGAACTCCTGCTAGGCTGGAAGGCAAGGCAAGCTCATAAGCAACCTCCCCAACTCGCCGCAATATCTCAAAAGGACCAATGAACCTCGGGCTCAGCTTACCCTTCTTCCCGAACCTCATGACGCCCTTTATAGGCAATACCCGAAGCAAGACCCGCTCACCAACCATAAATGCTAAATCACGAACCTTCCGGTCCGCATAACTCTTCTGCCTGGATTGGGCTGTGCGAAGTCTCTCCTGAATTGCCTTCACCTTATCCAGGGCATCCTGGACCAAATCCGTACCCAACAATCGGGCTTCGCCCAACTCAAACCATCCCACTGGGGACCGGCATCGCCTACCGTACAAAGCCTCATACGGTGCCATCTGAATGCTGGACTGATAACTGTTGTTGTAAGCAAACTCTGCAAGTGGCAAGTATTGGTCCCATGACCCTCCAAACTCCATCACACAGGCACGGAGCATATTCTCAAGAATCTGAATCGTGCGCTTGGACTGCCCGTCTGTCTGAGGGTGAAAGGCTGTGCTCAACTCCACCCTAGTAAAGTCTGAAGATAATAAAGAAAGTCTCTAGGCGAGGGAGTAGAAGGGGACTCCGAAGATCTGTGGACGCAAGCAGTGGTATCTTGACGTCTTCTAAAATTAGCAGCACGTACTAACTCCGAGGCTGATAGCTCGCACCTGGATCTGCACACGAAAACATGTGCAGGGAAGGGCATGAGTACACCACAATGGTACCCAGTAAGTGCCAAGCCTAACCTCGGTCGAGTAATGACGAGGTCAGGTCAAGGCCCTACCGGAGTAGATATAATAAATTAAATAGTAAAAGATATAAGTAAAATTTATGGTGACACAGTTAAAGAGATTTTAAAAAATTTAATAGTTAAGGGAGTCCTCGGCTCAAAACAAGGTAAACACAGTGGAAAATCCCCCGGTATGTCATCCCGTAGTTCCGAATAAATATGCAGTACATGAGGGATCTCCCAGAATACATATGTAGTCCCAAAGTAAATATGCAGTGCTGGGGGATCTCCCGGAATACGTCCGTAGTACCAAAGTAAATATGCAGTGCTGGGGGATCTCCCGGAATACGTCCGTAGTCCCAAAATAAATATGCAAGACATGGGGATCTCCCGGAATATGTCTGTAGTCCCAATTTAAATATGCAACGCAAGATAAAATGGCAGGTATGGGATCGAGTTATACAGTTTATACTGAACACAGATAAGGAAAATAGGGATTTAACTAAGCATGACGCATAAAATGTCAAATAGGCAGTTAAAATACGTGAGCATGCTTTTCTAGTCTAAACTACACAATTAAACATATTAGTACAATTTAATAAGTGAAGCAATTTATGATTTAAAAAGGATAAACAGGATTTTTGCAATAACAGCCTGTGAACTTACTCGTCACCTTACGTACACGGCGCCCACACACCAAATAATATCAAGATATCCTAAGGGAGAAGTCCCCAACACAAGGTTAGGCAAGCCACTTATCTCGAACCGCTCAAATCAACTCGATATCACATTCTTGCCACGAGTATCCGACTCCAAATGGCCCGAATCTATTCAAAACAGTACAATACCATCAATACGCGCTAATGGAATGAATCCCACAAGAAAAACTATAAATTAGGTCAAAACCCAAAATTGACTCAAACCCGGCCCCCGGGGCCACGTCTCGAAACCCGACAAAATTGACGAAACTAGAAAGCTCATTCACTCACGAGTCTAACCATATCAAATTTACTAAAATACGACACCAAATGGTCCTCCAATCCACAATTCAAACTTCCAAATCCCTAGCCTCCAACTTCCAATTTTCACCTTAAATACACATTAACTAGGTGGAAAAATACATAGCAGGGCAAGATTATTGACCAAAAATAAGCACAAGGAACTTACCTCAAGAAATGCCTTGAAAATGCTCTCAAAAATCGCCCTAACCCGAGTTTGCAAAGCCAAAAATAATAAAAATCGCGAAACCCTTCGGTTTTAATCACTGCCCAGGTATTTCCGCACCTGCGGAACCTAGGCTCGCTCCTGTGGGTGCACTTGTGCGGAAAACGTGCGCATCTGCCCAATTCACTTGCCCCCCTCTGCCTTCGCACCTGCGACGAAAGGGTCGCACCTGCGTGCGCGCGCCTGCGGATATCCCTTCCGCTTCTGCGCATTTGCGGGCATTGCAGATGCAGAACTTTCTCGCACCTGTGACCCCAGGCCAACTCTCGATTTCTCGCATCTGCGCTTCCATCTCCG